CAACACCATGAACACTTGGAATAACCTTGAGAATAAGGATACTTCGGTTCTCTCTAGTGAAATCAGCCTTGCCCTTTTGTGTACACACACTAGTGCCCATTTCACCAACCATGGACATCTTTATTTAGTGTGGAGATTAGGGTTATACACATGAACCTTAATTTCATATGATCCATGGGTTAAACACTCCATGTACTATCCATGAAAGCTTAGCCTAACCTAAATGAACTTGGCCCATCACACATATATATCTAAGAGTCCATATTTAATTGGTTCCTTTTGATCACTTAATTAATTATAAATTAATTCTTGATCCATACTAATTAAATAATATGATTATATATTAATATATTAGAACTTATAATATATTAATATAAATCACTAGTATCCTTTTTCCTCATCTTGTCTATCCAATTGTCCCGATGCCATGCAATCCAAATGGACCATGCCGGGTCGGGTCATGTCTTATCAATTATAGTTATGGACTTGGACATTAATCCAACAAATAGTGAACTGCAAACCCTAAGGCCTCTTTTTGACTTCCTTCTTCCGTTTTAAGTTGCTTTCGACCAAGGGAAGGCTCTGGATGGTATGGATGTTCGCATAAACATTAAAAACTGTGTTTTTTTTATTACTAAGAGTTTTGAGAGAGATGTTGAGAGAGATTTTGGAGAGATAGAGATAGAGTTGGAGAGACTGAGAGATACTTTGTTTTTATCCTTTGTTAGTGTTTGGCCCCACAATTCAAGGTTTGTAAACCGCACTATGCCTCGTTATAAGTGTTTTATGCCCCCGAAGGTACATAATAGTGCTTTCTAGAGTTGTTACATCACTCACCCTGGTTAGGGTTTAGAATTTCTGAACATTGGAAACTTCTGAGTGACACTTTGTATTTTGATAGAGAGTTGTACAATAGTAAACATAGTGTAAGCCCTAACAAACAATCACTAGTTAAGTTTACCAGTTTGACTCGTTAACTTGGTTTGACTTTGACTTGACCAGAAATTGATGGTTGTCACATCATCCCCTCATTATAGGGAATTTCATCCCGAAAATAGAGCTTCAACTGGGACTTCAAGGGTTGGGGAATAGATGTGGGTATTTTTGATTCATCTGATCTTCACGTTCCCATGTGAACTCGGGCCCTCGTTTACCGTTCCATCGGACCTTCATAACGGGAAGACGACTGTGTTTCGTTCTTTTGATCTCCCGGTCCATGATTTCTACCGGTTCTTCTACGAAGTGGAGACTCTCGTTGATTTCGATTTCGTTGAGAGGGATCACAAGAGTCTCATCAAATAGACACTTCCTTAAGTGAGACACATGGAAGGTAGGATGTGCGTTATTTAGCTCTTGCGGTAATCGGACTTTGTATGCTACCTGGCCAATCCTTGCGAGAATCTCGAACGACCCGATATACCTTGGATTTAGTTTCCCATGTTTTCCAAAACATATCAAACCTTTCCAAGGTGAGACCTTTAACAGCACCCGGTCTTCAACCTGGAATTCCAAAGGCTTTCGTCTATTATCCGCATAACTCTTTTGTCTGTCTCTAGAAGCCTTTAACCATTCTCGTATTTGGACAATCTTATCGGTGGTTTCTCTTATGATCTCCGGGCCAGTGAGAGTGTTGTTAGGGACTTAACCCTTAGATAGTTGTGTGTTACCCTCTTCAGCCCAGCACAACAGTGATCTGCACTTGTGTCCATAGAGGGCTTCAAATGGGGCAACCTTGATGCTAGTGTGATAGTTGTTATTGTATGAGAATTCGATAAAGGGTAAATGGGTGTCCCAAGATTTAACAAAATCTATTGTACAAGCCTTTAACATGTCTTCTAGTGTTTGTATAGCTCTCTCACTCTACCCATCGGTTTGTGGGTGGTTGGCTGTACTCATGTCCAGCCTAGTTCCCAAGGATTTCTGGAGTGTCTGCCAGAACCACGAGGTAAATCGACTATCCCTATCAGAGATAATGGATATTGGCACACAATGCAGTCGCACGATCTCCTTAATGTATGTCCTGGTCAGATTTTTCATTTGGTTGGTTTCGTTTATTGGTAGGAAGTGTGCGGATTTGGTCAACGATCACCCAAATGGTTATGAAATCCATTATGATCCGCTCCCACTTCCACTCGGGTATCTCTGGTTGTTGCAACAAACTGGAGTGCGTTTGGTATTCTATCTTGACCTTGACGCTAGTCAGACACTTTCTCACAAAGGTAGCAATTTTGGATTTTATGTTCGGCCACCAATAAAGTTTCATAAGGTCCATATACATCTTGTGTGAACCGGGATGTACATAGTATCGAGTTTTTTGTGTTTCGTTCATGAAGACGTCTCTAAATATACCATACTTGGGTGTCCAAAACCGATTCATGAGATAGTGAATTCCTTCACCCTTGATTTCTAGGTTCTTATCCATCTCTCTTAAGGCTTCACCTGTCCCATTCTCTGATTTGAGGGCTTCCAACTGAGCCTCTTTTATCTGTGTGGACATGTGTGAATGGATTGTCATAGTTAATGACTTTACTCAACGGCCTGAGTATACCTTTCAGCTCAGGGCATCAACTAATACATTGGCTTTTCCTAGATGATAACGAATTTCACATTCATAATCATTCAATAGTTCTACCCATCGCCTCTGCATCATGTTGAGCTCCTTTTGATTGAGGATGTGCTGAAGGCTTTTAGGATCGGTGAAGATAGTAAAGTTTTTCAGTAGAGGTAGTGCCTTCAGATGTTTAAGGCGAATGCTATTGCTCCCAGCTCAAGGTCATGTGTGGCGTAGTTGACCTCGTGCGTTTTTAGCTATTTTGAGGGGTAGGCAATTAACACACATCCAAGACCCTGGTTCGATGTGTCACAGTAGACCACAAAGTCTTTTGTTCTTTCTGGTAGGGATAAAATCGGAGCGCTGCACAGGGCATGTTTTAGCATTTGAAACGTGGTTTCTTTCTTTTCTCCCCAGTTGAAGGTTACACCCTTTTGAGTCAAGGTGGTAAGTGGGTTGGCGATTTTGGAGAAGTTTTGGATGAACCTCCTATGGTAGCTAGTGAGGCCTAAGAATTGACAGATTTCTGTTGGCGTCCTTGGTGCCGACCAATTTTCGATCGCCTTGATTTTGGAAGGATCCACATGTATCCCTTCCTCGCTAACCACATGACCGAGAAAAACCACTTCTCGGACCCAAAATTTGTACTTTGAGAATTTTGCATACAATTTCTCTGCCCTCAACGTCTCTAATACTTGTCGTAGGTGTTGCATGTGCTCTTCCTTTCTCCTTGAATAGACCAGAATGTTGTCTATGAAGACAATCACGAACTTTTCTAAGTAAGGCCAACACACCCGATTCATTAGATCCATGAACACCGCAGGTGCATTTGTTAATCCGAAGGGCATCACCACGAACTCTTAGTAACCGTACCGGGTTATAAATGTCGTTTTAGGAACATCCTCCTCCTGGACCCGTAGTTGATGGTATCCTGACCTCATATCAACGTTTGATAAATAAGTTGCTCCTTGGAGTTGGTCAAATAGGTCGTCGATTCGAGGTAGAGGGTATTGGTTTTTTATGATAAGCTTATTCAGTTCGCGATAGTCGATACACATGCGGAATGATCCATCCTTCTTTTTCACGAACATAACCAGTGCTCCCTAAGGCAAGAAGCTCGGTATGATGAACCATTTGCTTAGAAAGTCATTCAGTTGGATGGATAATTCTTGATCTAGGCTGGCACTTGGCGGTATGACGCTTTGGCTACGAGGGTGGCCCTAGGGATTAGGTCGATTCGAAATTTGACATGTCGTGTGGGTGGAACTCCAGGACGGTCTTCTAGAAACACGTCAGAGAAATTACAGACCTCTGGAATGTCCTCGATGTCTTTCACCTTTTTCTTCTTATCCACTATGTGGGCTAAGTAGGCGTGGTATCCCTTGCGGAGATACTTTTGGGCTTTGACACAATTGATGATTTGTAGGTTCGTACTAGGTTTGTTGCCATAAATGACAAGAGTTTCGCCAGTTGGCAGATTAAGGCGAACGGCCCTTTCGTAAAATAGAATGTCGGCATGATTAGAGCTTAACCGATCCATGCCTATGATGATGTCGAAGCTTTTTATTGAAACATGCATGAGATCGATTTTGAATGAATGGTTATCTCGAGTGAGGGTACACCTCGTATATATATCGTTAGTGCTCTCTACCTTTCCATTTGTCATTTCTATGACATATGTATATTTTAGTGATTAGGGATTTTGTTTTAGTAATTGTTTGAATTGGTGTCTAAAGAAACTCCTCTCCGCTCCACTATCGAATAATATGCATGCATATGATTTATTAAGGAGAAACGTACTAATAACCAGCATGGGATCTTCCATTGCTTCCCCATACCCCAATGCCAAGAACCTTCCAACACCACCGACATTAGTGTTTCTTGCTTTTGGGCATTCTCTTTTGTAGTGTCCGATCTCCTGATAGTCGTAGCAGGCTTGGCTTGCCCCAACATTGGTGGCCGGGGTGGCTTGTTGGGCTGGATCCCTGCAGAAGCAGGCATTATGCCCTTTCTTGCTGAAATTGTTGTAGTGCATCTCTTGACAAGGGCCAGTGTGGTGAAAGATGCACTTATTACATTTGAGGAGGGTTCCAACATACCGCCTTAGAGGTGTTGGAGCGGAGGGGGTAGTGGCAGTGCGAACTGCCACTATTTGTTGTTTCTTGGTGGAATCCTAGGCCAGCTGGTTCTTCTTCTTGTTCAAGAATTTCCTTTTGTTGTTAACCCTTTTTCTTGCTTGGAGGTGGCCGCCACTTTTTTATCAATGCATAGTAGGGCCATTCAGAGCAACTTTCTATTCACTGCTCCAACTGATGTAGGAACATACCAAGAGTTTACCACTTTGGATCTAGCGTAGACCACTACCACATGAGAAGCTCACGATTCAACTATCGTTTTGGAGGATTCCCCTTAGAAGCCTTGTTCTGATGAAGAACACTCTACATAATTTATGTTCGATGACGATAGTTCTTCCATTGGTGCCCTTCCCATATTCTCAACTTACAAATCCTTGCAAGCTCCATCTTTTTCTAAGCCGGTTTATGACTATCACCTTTCTTCATCCTCCTCGCAACATGAAGACGAGGAGATTCAGATTGATGACAAATTCCAAGCGACTCAAGGAAATGAAACAGAAACAAACCCCCCTCAGGGTAATCAAACAACGAAAAATACATCTCCTTCCAAACCACATGAAGACAAAGGTGGTGATAATAATGATGATAAGTCTGAGAGTTCCACCTCGGACACCAGCTCCTCGGATGAGAAGATCACCGAATTGTTTGCCCTCCTGGAACTTTGAGACAATGTAGCAAGTGCTTTCTCAAAGGTAGACTCTCTTGATAACTCTATGGCTCAACTCGTTTCAAAGCTTGATAAAAAAGCCTACAATATCGATTCCAAAATCGATGTTATTCTTTAATCTCTTTCCAAGATTAAACAAGTTGGTCCCTCAGAAGTCGAAAGATAAAATGAATTGGATCAACTCATCTCTCTTAGATTCAAGCACACCTTGGAGGAAGTCGAATAGAAGTATAATGATTGCCTTGATCACCACATCAACACCACCACTACCATGCTGAAGATCCATGAAAACATGATCAACGCAACCAATGAGTTAATCAATCAAACTCATGTGTGACATGAAAAACAGATCCAATGGTTGGAGAAGGAGATAAATAAGAAGGATGAATTAAACTTAGTCATGAAATAGGTCTTGATCAAACTGCTCCAAGCTTGTTGGAACAATGTCGATGTTTTGAACAACAAGCTCGATGAAATGCTCTCAATCTTGGGCACTCACTTCGATCACCTCAAAGACGAAGCCCCCATTGATGAAGCATACGATGCCATCTCTAAACAAATCAACATGAGTTTTCTGAGAGTATTTGATAGATTATTAGAAGTTCAAGCATTTTCCAGACTTGCCTCAGATGTTGGGCCTTCCGAAGCAAGAGGGGGAGAAGGACCTAGTCACTGGGGTCATACAGTCCAATGGAAACCTGCCTTAGAATTCACTCTATGAGATAAATCTAATAATGAAGACTTGATCCATGTTAAATCCATGGACCCTCCTACCGATGTTGATGAAGAAGAAAAAGATGACAACCAAATCAAGAGCATTGTTGTAGGACTACAAGCACCTAGGAAATATCCAACGAAGGTTCTTTCTGAAGAAGAAAGAAGGATATGGTCTGATTTTACTTGGCCATCATCCTTGGTATATGTGCTCCAAAGAAGCCATGAAATGGCTAAAATAAAGATAAAGCTCAATGTTGATTCCTTCCGAACTACACAATCAATGCTGCCTGCAATCCCATCTCCGAGAATCATCACAATTGATGAAGGTGCTCCTACTTGAAAACCAGATGAGATCCCAAAAGAGCCCCTGATCACTCCTCCTCTAGAGTTTAATATTTTAGAAATGGTACAAGTCATCGTTGAATTAAACAAACCTCCACAAGACAAAGGGAAGAAAGTTGCCTCTGAACCAAGCATCCCCAAAAGGACCTTCAGAAAATCCGAAGGCTAGTCCCAAGAGCAGATAAATCAAGCACTTGAAGAAAGTATCAGGATTCAAGCGTTAAAAGATAATATTAATATAATGCATATATACCCACTCTTCTGAGAAAGGATCATTCATGATCAAGATATAGTGCCCTTCACTTACATCAATCTTCCTACTCAAGACTCCGACCATATCGATTTTCTAATCTCTCCATTCAGAAAATAATACATCAAGTTTGCTCCTCTTCTCCAGATGATGGTTCATCGACTATCATCAAAACTGAGCGAGAGAGGTTGAAAAAATTCAATTTTGTTAACGCACGTCGTCAAAAAGACGTGTGGTCTCAGGAGCGGATCACAAAGATTGCTGGTTTCAGAAATAAGGTTCAAAGAAAATTCGACCTAAATCGTAATATGTACAGATATCACATATCTCGGAAAAAAGAAGCCACTATCACTATCACGGATGCAGATTTTCTATCTATCAACCCTAATAATATTATCACAATCGTTGCTCATTTCCGAAATCATCAATCAGATCAACTAAGCATCCTAGCTTATAGTGTTGCAATGAACTTGTTGAAGGACTATGTAGCTGAATTCTACAGATCTGACATTGAGTTCGCACACTTGTTCAAAACTAAAAATGTGTTAGTGAGGATAAATTATAAATTGTCTAAAGCTCAAATCATGGTAGAAGGTCCGATTGAAGAACTTGAGCTCAGATATGTGTATCTGAGAAAGAAGACCAACATAAAAGAATTTTTCCCAGTCTATAATAAGAATCCCGTTCCTTCAACCATTCTGCAAAAGTTCATCTCCAATGATGCTAAGAGAGATGCTCCTGAGCATGTGAAGAATAATTTCATCAATCATCTCAAATGGTATTTAGAAGTCCGAAGCTGGCTCTACGATGCTTACCTTTTCATATGTGAAGATGCTAACTAAGTTGACTGATTGCTATGTTTACTTAGGGGGAGATTGTTAATGCATAAGAAGTGAACCTTTAGCAATCCGAACTAATCAAGATTTGAAGTCAACTTGTGTCTGAGATGTCAAGAGTTCTGAAGTTATTTTGAATCCAAGGTGAAGATATTCAGAAGCTAGAGTCTGTACAAGCATTTAGTGCTTTTTGTCTTTTTGTTGATGTAACAGTTCTTACGACAAAATTATGTGAATATTTTAAGTGTCAGATTGTCAAACACTTAGTTGTAACCAGTCCATAGAATTTGTTATCGGTTTGTACTATGTCTCTCCTTTCCTATATAAGGACTAGATGTTTCATAAGTCACATACCATGAATAGTAAGCAATCAATCTATTCTTTTTCACATCAATATATCTTGCAAGTCAAAATTCTTTTATTTACATTCTACTTGTTTTAAATTGTCTTTACATTGATCATACTCAATCTTACTTCATTTATTAATTGAATACTTTAATGATTATTAATATTCAAGTCTCGACTGGTTTACCAGACTTGACTGGACCAACTAGTTAGAAGAAGATATTGATCTTAAATATTAACTCAAGGTTTGATTTTTTAAACCTTGTCCGCGCATTGATTTTTGTTATCAGAAATTTGAATGGCTTCAATACGAGCAACAAGAGCAAAAGTATCATCATAATCAATTCCTTCAATCTGAGTAAATCCTTTGGGTGCCAATCTTGCTTTGTTTCTAATTAAAACTCCGACATCATCGAGCTTGTTTCGGAGGACCCATCTTGCGCTAACAATAGGGTGATCCTGAAGAGGAGGGATAAGAGTCCACACTTGATTTCTGTCAAATTCTGCTAATTCTTTTTGCATGGCTGTAATCCAATCAACATGTTCTAAAGCTTCCTTGATGGATTTTGTTTTAACCATTAATATGAATGTCGATAAATGAAACTCATTTTGGATGTTAAAAGCAGAATGAGTTTGAACACTAGCATTGAGATTTCTAATGACTTGATTTGGAGGTTGATCTTTTGTCCAGATGTGTAATCTCGAAAGTTCTTGTGCAACGGATGATCCAATATCAACAATAGGGTTGTGCTGCTCCCCTAATACAGTTTGAATTTGAGGATGATGCCCCCCCTGAACTTCTGAATTGGATATGTCGACATCATCATCGTTCGAAAGTCAAAGAAGTTAACATCGTCTTCATTGTTGTTTGGAATGGGATCAAATTCAGCGAATTGATCTATTGTATCTTGAAATCCAACAACATTTGATTCAAGGGTTAGATGACTATTCTCTCCCTCAGCTTGATAAGGTTGAAATGGATCAGAATCAAATGGAGGAAAGGTAGGTGTCGGGCCAGATACATTTTGAGAAATCAGAGCTTTAGTTGATGAGGATGATCTTCATCGAGATTCCGAGTCAATATCAATTTCTAATGGTCCAAACAGGCATTCATAGTCAACTTCATGGATCATTTGGGAATTCAGAGACCCAAGAGGTGGAGCATCAGACTCCATGATGAGAGTTGTAACATGAGTTGGACCAAAGTTCCGAACAAAAATTATCATCAAAAGTGACATCAAACCTTTCTTCAAGTACACGAGTTTGACGATTCAGAAATCTTTAGGCTTTGGATTTTGCTGAGGATCCCAAAAAGATTGCTTCATCGGCTTTTGGTTGAAACTTTGTGAGTTTATTATGGTTGTTTTTTATAAATCATATGATGGATTAGGTATTTAAGCCTAATAACTATAATTGGTATATACTTAAATTGATAGTACCACAATCCTTTTGGGTTGCCCTCAAAACTAGTAAGTAGACATGATGATTTTGGAGAAAGATGTTGATTTATTATTTGATTAATAAATTAAAATAAATAATTTGTTAACATAATAATATATTAATTAAAAAAAATAATATTTAATTAATATTCAGTCAGAAATTAATTGGAATTAATTTTGGGATTAAATGATGAGAGAACCCCTACTTCTGTAATACCTTTACAATATTATTACTCCAAACATTCTACATGCATATTCATAATATATTTTACAATCGTCTAGATACAAACCAACTATTAATATTCGTACAAAGTTTTATATATTACATAACTTCCCAGGAATTTACACAATGTACAAAAGTGATATTATTAACTATTCTACATCTTATAACATTACATAACTATACTGGATGCTTATCACCTGCAATAATTAAAGACTAAGAGGGATAAGCGGGCGGTGCTTACCGAGTTCAATAACAATTACAATATAATGTTATGCCATATATATAACAATATGACAGAAGAAAAGAAGGACAAAGAATAATAAAGGAAACTGTGTATGATATGACAGGCTTTTCAAATCAACCAATAATTTGATTCAAAGATTTAAAATTAACGAGACATAACAAATTCAACTTGATATACTTCAATAAAACTTCAGCCCAAGTGGCACAAAAAATACAATTTCGGATTATCATTTTGCTAGAATATACAGGTTTTCAGCCCTACATAGCCTTATGCCAATACCAGAAGTTATACGAGTCATGCTCTACATGGACAAATGCACAAAGCTAATACTAAAAGTGATACGAGACATGCTCTACATGGCCAAAGGCATAAATTTGATACCAAAATAATACGAGACATGCTCTACATGGATAAAGGCTCAAAACCAATACTAGAAGTTATACGAGTCATGCTCTACATGATCAATGGTATAAAACCATAATAACTTAGGAAATCACATTGAACATATAACACATAACATACAATTGTTCCTATATTGAACTCACCATTAAATAACTGAATGATAAAATTATAATTTGGGCAGCACTTCTTGTCTAAAAATG